ATGTAATATATTCTTGATTAAAAAATATATTATCTTATTCTACTGTCATATTGTAACATATGTTTTTTTGTTTTTTTTAGGAATTTAATGAAAAAATTTTGACTGGTGCATGCCTTGTTGTTGCAGAAGGATTGGTATTTGATATTCATAAATGGATAAAAGTTCATCCTGGTGGACAAAGAATTTTACGTAGAGTGGTATGAAATTTTTTTTTTAAATGATCAGTGAATCATAAGTAATCACGAATTATAAATTAATCAATTCTATTACTGTAATAATAAAAATTTTAAAGATTGGAACAGATATTACCAACGATTTCTTTTTTGATCCCAATGTACAACTGACTATAAAAGGCAATTTGGATAAAGAAAAAGAACACTTACATTCCATGAGGAACTCTAAATTGTACCGTAACCGATGACATAGCTACGGCACCGAACACAGCAACACAAACTCCACCAATGATTTGAAGATTACGATGCTGTAATAATGAATATATAAGTATAATGTATCCTATATGGTTTTGCATACGTACTAAAGAACTCTAAACGAAATATTTTTATACCTCAAACATGTATGTATCTTTATGTCTCGTATATCTTACTATCCATATCGATACTATATTTTGTTGTGAAAAAAAAATTTTCAATAAATTGTTAAACTACAAACAATTCAATAAATTATCATAAGCAATACTGTACCTGGGAATAAAACACTATGAATGACAAGATGTGAGAATAAATAAATGTTAAAAGTCTAAAAGACACAATTTGCCACAATTTGCCACAATTTCCACAATTTACATACCACCAAATTAAAAACATTCCAATTCCATGACACAATTGCATATTTCCACTTTGTACAACATTAGTACCAGAAAAAGGACTACTTTGTCCTGTAAAGAAATTAACTAGCATGAGTCCTCGATTTCCGCCATGATAATTTAGTTGATAACTATTTGGATTGAAAGCGAGAATTGCTACAGAAAATTTCATAGGTAAATGATATAAATTAATTAAATTAAATTTTATAGAAAAATACAAGAAAAAAAAATAATAAGTAAAATAACATACTTTTTGTCGATGAGTCAGTAATTGGTTTTTTATTAGGTGCTATAAGGGGACGTTTTAATTCCACTTGAGTGTACCCTCCAATAATTGTTTTGTTCAAAACAGTAATAAAACTATTATCGACTTCAGTAGGGCGTTGGTAACCAGTGGATTTGTAAGCACCAACGATTACGTTTGAAGAAGAATTAACTGATACAATTATCATGTCAGCATCCTATGATCAATATAGGTTTTTAATATAACAAATGAAAAGTTAAATATTTTAAAAATAGGGATGTTTAAATATACCGTCATGCCATTATCTGACGGGTTGAATCCAATGGCGAACCAAGCATTTGTGCTTTGCATTGTCATTAGTAAGTAAATGTCGGGACCATCAATCCTCCATTGAACTTGATATGTGTTGGAAAATCTTAAAACGTTAAATTGTGGATATTGATTCGTTGTGGTGGTAACATTGGGAACAGCGAGAGGTTGAACTATCCATATGTTTTGTGGCATAGATGCGTAGCTTGGCATATTACGATTAATTACCATTGCTAAGGTTGTATTATGAATTGTATCTATTTCATCTTGTGTGAATCCAGCTTCCGGTGATTCATACCTATCATTAGGAATTTAAAATTAATTATTAATTTTCAAAAAAAAAAATTAAAAATAAAAATAAAGCTGATAAAAATTACTAACCAAAGCCTATCAAAATCGCGTATTTTAGTCCACTGTACATTTAAGCGAGAGTACATGATTATTTAAAGTTTAATGTTTAATGTTTAATGCAATATTTAAATAGCACCAAGTGAAACCAGAAATATAAAACAATATTTATTTTATACTTAGGCAGCATAATATCATACCTGATCCGCATAACTAGCATAAAATAGAGGACCAAGATTTGAACCATTAACATGATCTTCGGCAAGACCACCCGGGAAGGCTTCAACTAGATCAACGGAGCCATATGCGTCTTGTAAACGTTGTTGCGTAAGTGGATCAGATGAGATATCAGACCAAGTTTTGGCTCTACTTAAATTAAACGCTTCTCTGGCATCATTATATAATAGGACACCGTGATCGCGACCTCTTGCAATATCAATACTAATAAAATGGCAAAATCGAAGATTGAAAATATCGATTAAATTATTAAATTTATTCCATTTTATTTGACTTTATACAGTAATAATACTCGGTCATTCACCTCGCTATATCCATGAGCTCGGTTTTGTACAAGAAATATCTCATCTGATCAGCAATAAATATATCCACTTCATCTTGCCTATAAATACAAAAAAGTTAATAAATGGATAATATTTTATATTAATTTAAAAAATGAAATAAGAAATTACATTTGAAGAGACAATGATGCTGCAAGCGTTGGAACACCATACTTTTCACTATAAAAATATATGATGTAAAAAAAAAAAAAAAGATATTAGAAAAATGTAAAAATTTAGCATAAAGATAAAATATTTATTATTTACAGTAAATGAGATTCTTGAAGCTGGTTTAATTTCAAAATATGGGTTGTATATCCATTACTATCAACAATTGGATATTCGTCACTTTATAGAAAAATAAAGAATATATTAATATTGGAAAATACTTGGAAAATAATGAATCATGAAGAATGATAATTACCTAACTTCACTGTGGCCATAACGCATTGCTGTCTAATGTTATAATAAAAAAAAAATGGCATAATAAATAAAATTATAAATCGTTAGATTCATATCCTTTATTTCTTTCGAGTCAGGTAAAATTGCTTGTAAAAGTTCTTACTGTGGCAAAGAATGAGTCAATTACTGGTGGTAGGCTTGCATTATAACCTTTATATGCAGGTAATGGAGCACCCAATAGAATACCAACTAAATTGACACAAGATAATTATAAGGAGAAAATTTACTAAAAAAATTCATCGATATCGATATTGTAATTGATACTTACCATACTCATAAAAGGTTATTTTTTGTATGAGTGCAATAACCCATTTTCGCGCTTCTTGAAAGTATTTTTCATCATCCCAATTGGCATGATTAATCGCAAATAATTCATCACATTTTCGGTTGTGTTCACGTAAAAAAATAGTGAATAGCATATCTATAAAACAAAAATATTATGTAATTAAATTCAATACATTAATTTTATAAGATGTGTACTAATTTACCTGTGAAAGCATTTCTACTTTTGTTTGGGGTATATCTGTTTATTATTATCATTAGTATTTTGATTGATTTATGCAGTGATTAATAGATGGATTTTATAAACAAATTAATAAAATGTTTTTCAATATTTTATCATACCCATATATGTAATCGCCAGTAAGTGGATCCTAAATTTTAAAAAAAATAATATATTTAAAAATGTTATTTTTTTTATTAGTGATATAGAAAATAATGAATAATGGTTACCTTTGGTGGATAACCAAAAGCAAAATCATCAGATATCCCTTTTGTATCAAGTTTCATTTTTCCTTTGTTTCCGTAATCGCGAATCATACGAAGCTTCCAATCTGTAATTCCATAAATTTGTGACGCGTCAAGAAAAGGAGTGCCTTGATTTCTTGCTAAGAAATTTGCTCCTGATGAACGATTGAATGGTAAACTTTGCTATATGATAATATTAGAATAAATTACTTGTACATTTAATTTGTCTACAGAATGGTTTAATTGATATCTTACTTGAGTAATTGTTAGATTTGGGCCAAGAAAAGGATTATACTGTGACTGATAATTAATATCGTCTCCCGGAATATAGATTTGTAACGGTGTTCCCGTATCAGGTTTTAAAACATTAGTAACCTAATTAATTAATCAGTAATTTAATGTAAAAAAATTAATTAATTAGTAATTAATTTTATTGGTTACACAAGATAAAAACTGCTGTAGAAAAAAGGAAATATGAACTGACATCTATCCTAATGAACACGCCCCTAAAAATAATAATTATTGTTAATATTGTAATATGAATGAAGAATTAAATAAGGAGCATTTTGGCATTACTGTATTAATACTCACCAATATGTTAGCTAAATTATTTAAATTTTTTTTTGAAAAAATAGATTTTAATACTAATCAAAGATTTAATGAATAACGAAATATAACAAAAGATGTTTTAAAGTATACAATATGAGAAACTCTTCTTTTCGATTTAAACCGAGACATTTGTGTCAAATTATAAGAATCTTGCGGCTTTAATTGAAATGAATGAAGTTTATTGCTAACGCATCTAGGCAACGGGAAATTCTGTGGTGGTAATGGGTCTGCACAGTTTATAGGCAAAAGAGGAATATCATAATTTCCAGGAGTAAGTATCATAGTAAAGTTTGTATTATTGTAGTAGAAATATGTAGTAATTTTTTCACGAACGAATGACATGTTTGCCATTCCTAAATTGTTCTTATCGTTATTAGACCCATTGATAGATCTATATTCACCCAGAACTACATTTTTGAGGGTGAAAATGTAAATTAAAACGAGTGCTAACTTTAAACAGTATACAATCATATTCATTATTCTACTAGAACCGAAAAAGAGTCGGTTAAGAGAAATTTTGATATGCAAATCTGATTAAATATTTATGCGAATATACTGTATTTGTCGTCATGTAGTACTAAGATATTTTTTCAATTTCGATCATCTAATTTAAGCTGATGTGTTGTAAAAAATGAAAATCCAATTCTGGAAATTCGGCAAATTGTTTGTTAAATTTTACCTAGAAGGTACACAAGCGTATATGTTACCATATGACATTTCAAATGTTTAGGCATTTGTTGTACATACAAACGTACGTACGCATATACGTACATACGTACGTGAGTAAGTTACTGTATTTATTGTTTGCATCACACTATCTTTTCCCAACTAATGAATTTTTCCCAACTAATGAATTTTCCCAACTAATGAATTTTTAGTGTTTGCAAGTAAATAGATGAACTAAATGCAATTGGATTTAATCAAATCGCCTGATTTTATGCGTAAGGAAAATCAATCTCCCCAGGTTAAGGTACCTCAATTGAGTGCGTCACTGAAGAGTTTATCAAAATAAGTCAATATGTTATTTTATTAAAAGTTAGATTGAACTGATTTTATTTTTAATATTCTATAGTACAATTTATAAATTGGCAAAATACTTATTTAGCATATTTAGTAGCAAATTGTCTCTATATATACACGGCTAATTAGATTTCTTAACTATTTATAACGTAATTACGATTTCCTGACAATCACTTTATCAACAATTGTTTTATTTATCGCTTCATTAATGCCTTATGTAACGATAATTCTCCGTATATTAAAATTATATAAATTTCAATTTTTACTTTTTTTTGACTAGCATGTCGGATCGTTTGATTAGTTGCAAACCCAATAAAGATAAATGAAGCGTTTGTGTAACATAGCATGGCCTTTTAAAAGTATGATTAATTTCTGTTTAAAGAAACACTATATGGTGCGAGTTATCTAAAAAACATCCAGAATTACTAAGGACCTTGCTACAAATCCAATCTGCAAAAAAACTCATAACCTTGTATTTTATTATTTGATAAATTTGATGTATTTATTGTATTCAGATGGCCCTAAACCTAATTCTAATATTGATATTGTAACTATCGTTATCTTTATCGTTATCTTTATCGGTGAAATAAATAGATAAGCGATGTTTTGGTTTGTATCACTTGCTAAAATAAATAAGTCTACGATTTTTGAGTATTGCAAACCGGTTATACGTATACAAACTATATACATAACTAGAATGTTTTTCTGAATTCGAAATTTCCTAATTTTGGAAAATTTAAGCTTAATGTAATACCGCTAATTTATCAAGACAAAATTCGAAATGCGTATGAAATTATGGCCTTATCAAAATTCTTTTATTTTGTGTGCCAAATAGATGGGCAAAAATGCACATTTAACTGATCACCATGCAAGTTACCATGCGCATGATTATGAGGATCATTAAAGCAACTTTATTCAAATTATTCAAATTAAATTGATTTGAAAAGTTAAAAGTTGCGAAGTATGAGTTTTATATATTTTATAAAATAAATTTAATTTAAAAAGCAAAAATGTTAAGAAAGTTTTAACTTACAAGAAAAATCTTTAATTATAAAGCTAATCGTGACTTGTTACACCTTCCTGCGAGGTAACAAATGGCTAAACTGATAAATTCAATCTGGGTTGCTTCGTCTGACAATACCGATTGATCGTTATAACCAGTTATGTTTGTGCACATTGATATCTTAGATAAAGTTTACTGTTACAATTTTGCGATATTTTAGATTATATAAATTATTATATTTATTTATTTATTTATCATAGCGTTCCACATGGGCTGGATTAGGATGCTCAAATGGAACAGGCTCAAAATGTTTGGACTTGAATCTAAAAGCCTATGGATAGTCCACATTTCAGCTGATTGGATTGTGTGGCCATGGGCTGGGCTAGGATCTATCCAATCAAATGTAAATATTTGGTAAATATTTTTGCTCGGCTGGATCTGGTTTTCGAAATATCCACACAACCCGAATCATTCTTAAATTGACAGTAGGTGTCCAATGCAAGTCTAATTACAAACATAGTTCAGGTAGTATAGTGATAATTATTAATCAATTTTTTTATAATTAGCGGTAAATGGTAAATAGTTAAAACTTCTAAAATTTAAATTGCAATAACTCTTGAACTAACTAACCTATACAATTGGAGCACAGCAGAGGTGCAAAATGGTTGTTTTTGATGCATTTTTAATAAAAATATCAAAAAAGTAATTTTGATTTTTTTGTCGACCACCATTGCATAATACAATACAAAAATTTTTTATTAATAAAAAAAAAACATCAAAAACGACTATTTTGCATGGAAATTGAGTCTTTGCCATGCTCCAAACAATAAAAATAAATCAAAAAAACGGCGACATTACTTTAAAGAGCATGTTAAAACGAACATGATAAATATAATTTTACTGTATAGGTTAGTTAGTTCAAGAGTTCTTGCAATTTAAATTTTATATTTTTTACTATTTACTCTATAGCTAATTATTAAATTTTAACGAGTGATGTTTTAATTCCAGTATTTAGTCGATAATGAAAAGTAGAAGCACGTAATATTTGTCTTTCTTAATCGATGTCAGATGTTTGATGTCTCAGAATAATGATGCTTCGACTAAATGCTATTTTTTCGCTATTGCATTTGGCGTAGAAATTGCATGTCAAACTTACATCATCATTTGGAATTATTTTAACGATTTCATTGTTATAAAGACCAAATAGGCATTTAGTCTTATTGTGAATGCGTTAGAATCTAGGTCACTCACTATTATTAGTAAAATTATATTTAAGCTTATTATAAATAATTTTATTCGCTAAATCAAATATTATAATGTACATTATACAGAAAAATCTCCCTAAAAGCCTTCTTCTCAGGGCTATAGTAATAAATTACAAAATGGCGCACTTAGAGTGTACTTTAAAATCTAGGACCAGATTATATTGTCCACTTAAAAAAATTTTATGTAAAGGGAGTAATAAAAATATTCAAATATTCAGTGCTTTTTTTCGAACTAATGATCTAATATACGTGAAGAAAATGTTTATTATAAATATATAAATTAGAAAACGTCCATTATAAATAAAAAAGTGTTGTAATTTTGTTTAAAGTTCTTAAAAAAATTCAATGAAATTTGTATTTCAATCCTGCTAGTTTGCAAAATTGAATAAAGAAATCCTTAAAAAAAATTTTTCAAAAAAATAAAGGGGATCTTCTAAATAAGAGATATTTTATTTCAGATATATATAAAAATTTGGGAATGAATATAAAATATCACACTTCTTTATTCAATAACTTCCGATATAAATTTACCGAGTAACCTTAAGTAATAATTAACTTACTAAATACTGTATATAAATACAAATATAAGCTTATATCTTAGTCCGACCAATCTCACTTTTAATAATAAAACTTAATTCTGGTCATTAAGTATGAGATTATTCTTGTTACATCATACAGATCTTTTTAATCAAAATGAGCTGTATGGTCATTTTTTAGATATTCTAACCATTAGCTCGTGGACTTTATTGGTACCCCTAAAAGAATATCTAATTGGTTCCTTCTCATTTATTAATTCAATCTTATACTTTCTGTAAAAAAAAAACTACGAGCAATTTTAATTCAATTAATGCAATATTTCTTCCAGGACACATCCTTAAACCTCCACCAAATGCCAC